CATTACAGATGGCTGTGAGCCACCATGTGGTTGCTGGGAATTGAACTCAGGACCTCTGGAAGAATAGCCAATGCTCTTAACCTCTGAGCCATGTCTCCAGGCTGCCAAACTCTCACTTAGGTCAAGGTCACCAACAAACTCCTCAACTTCACTAACCCCTCCTTCAGTGCCTCCCACTGCTTTCTTTGTCCTCTCTTCAATGTCCTCCATCAGTCACAGTCCCTCTCCTGCAGATACCCCAGCCCCACCCCACTAACTGCTTGTCCCTTGACAATCCAAGTCCCCCTTTGGGAACCAAAGCCAAGTTCTCTCAACCTTTCCACACCAACCCCAAAACCCTGTCACAGACTGTCCCTTTCACCATTTGTCAAAGGCCCCCCAAATGATCTATGTTCCTAAAATATTTCAATTTCAGAACCCACCTAAACACCCCAAGAAAGACTATTCTGATGCAACAAAAGCCTCTCAAAGTATGTGCTCCCCAACACAACCAGACCCCACTTTCAGAGAACAGTTGCTCCCCAATTAATTTTATATGGCCAATCTAGATTCTCCCGGCTCCTCTCAAGAATTCTCAAACAGACATCAGATAAGTACTGTCAACCAACATCCTGTTTTCCTGCCTATTGTCTCTTCCTAAGGGTGGAATCTCTCCCCATTTGTCTAGTCTTGGCACTCCCCATCCCACTACAAGGCCCATGAACCTAAAAATTTCAAATGTATATCCAAGATAACTTTTTTCTAAATTCCTTAACCTTACCTCTGTTCCTAGTTTATCTGTACCAACAGACTTCAAATCAACTACAGACCACTCTAGCAACTCCAATGCCAGGTACAGATGTTTCCTCAAAATCTACATCCTGATGTAGCCTCACAGACTTCACTTTCCTAGCCTCAGATGGTCCCACATAACCTGGATATTGACTTACACAGCCTTCTCTTCCTGGCCTTGACCAACAACTCAGCTTCCTTGGGTCCCCTCAACAGTGCACAAATATCAGCAGGAAGTAGGTAGAGAGAATGATGCCCACTTACCCAACACCCAGCAACCCAATAATAAAACAGATAGTTGGAAATGAGCCAGGCAGTGGTGGTGCATGCCTTTAATCCCAGTACTCGGGAGGCAGAGGCAGGGGGATCTCTGTGAGTTCGAGGTCTACAGATTGAGATCTAGGACAAGCACCAAAATGACATAGAGAAACCCTGTCTTGAAAAAAATAGGTGGGAATAAGGGATTCTAGCCAGCCTGAGCATGGCAAGCATGGCTCTAGCTGATAGAAATTCCAACCATGCCCCATGGTCATGCACATCTGGCAGGACACTTAGTCAGATCTGCCTAGTCATTTCCAGGGCATAAGTCCTGCATGACCCATGACCCATAGTTACATGGTCACGTAGTTGCACGGACCACGTGACCTATGCGCATGAGTAGAACAGCCACAGGGGCCTGTGTGCACAGGTGTGTCCTGGCCTTTATAAGGCGGGTCCCATGTTCCCCTGCCCTCTTTTGCACATGTCCTTCCACAGGCCTGATCACCTCTATCCCTTTCTCTTTGTCTTGATAAAACTCTGGTAGTAGATTCTGTCAGGTGTCCTGACTTTTCCCTGGGGCAAGAGCGCCACAAAAAAACATCACTAGCACACCTTGCCCTTCTCTCCATTCTGCCTTGATAAAAACCATTAGATTACATTCCTGTAGCTGGCCCCCAAGGTCTGTTCCCTTATTTGGCCACTTCCTCCTCCTGAGGCTGACTACCAAGGTACAGTTATCAAAATATTTTAGTCCAGCTATCAAAAGCCCCTTTTGGCTCAACTAATTAACATGCCCAATTAAAATTAAACACCTCATCCTCACACAGAGCTTCCCCTTTTACCTTTCTAAGCCACCTCTTGCCTATGGGCCACATTTGTCTCCTCTATCCAGAGGCAGTCAGTGCTTTGTTCCTCTAGGACAAATACCCCTTCTCTCTCTCCCTTGCCCCTTCCCCCTTCTCCTTCCTCATCTACCTCCTGTTGTTGTCTCTTATTCCCTGCCATTTGTCCCTCAGGGGTAAAGAAATCTCCTTTGTGCTGAGAACTTGGTTTTAGGGGTCCTGAGCCAATACAGATCCCTTCAGTGGGAACCTAGGGCAACCCAGGTAGCTGTAAATTTCTGTCATTTTAATTGATACATAATGCAGTTGGATTATACTTCCTGCTATAATATATTTTTCTAGGATCTCTGATGGTATTGAAGGTTAACTGTAGCTTTGTTAGCTTGGCAGCAGCAAGGAAACAGCTCCTTCCCCAAGGCTGCAGCTGCCTTGTCTGTTCATTTCATATGTAAAATCCGGCCTCATTCTCTCTAGAGCTACTAGGTCTCCAGTTGAAAAAGACAGTTTACCTGCTGACAGAATTCACTCTAAAAAAGATAAAATCAAAAATGAGTTTCAATGTAATGTTTACACTTTATCTAAAAGAACTTGCTTTATAATGACTGTTCTCAGTACTCAACTACCTGTGTCTTTTGTAAATGATTGAATAGAAGGAAAAGGTTACAAGTTTATGTGCATTTTGATGGTCTAAGAAAATGTTTTAAGGTTTGTAAATGCAACATGTAAAGGTCTGAGGATGTAAACGCTTAAGTAAGTTATGAGGGTCTAAGAAGGTGATTTAAAGTGTGTAAATGCAAGTTGTAAAGGTCTAGAGTGATTT